AAGTAGGTGCTTTAGACCACTGAGCCATCTCTCCAGCCCCAGCCCTCTAATTTTTATATGTAAAAAATTATACCATTCAGTCATGGTAATTAAAATTGGTATATTCAATATTATACATGAGAAAATTAAAATTCTTATATGTGTGCGCACATATACCTACTTCTGGCAATTCTATTTATGAAGTTTATTATATTTAGCAAACACCTACCTAACCATATTGGTAGTAGACATACTTCTAAGTACCTTAGCAATATTTGATTGTGTGGTTACAAATCCAGAGATGCTTGGTAATTTGTTTAGAGCCACTTCAAAATGGCAAGTCAGGCATTCACACTCCAGTATTCTTACGACAAATGCTGTACTTTTAGCAACTGTGCTATGAAGAAATAAACAAAAGCAAAATATCAGTTGCACAAAGATATTGCTGTCTTATTGCCTATAAATGAAAAAACCTAGAATCTTCTATTCAGCAATTGAGAGTAGTTACTAACCGATTAAATCAGCTGGGTGTGGTGGCACACAGCTGTAGTCCCAGCACCTGCGAAACTGAAGCAGGAGGGTCGCTGCAAGCTCAAAACTAGCCTAAGCTACAAATGAACTCAAGGCCTGCCTGAACTTCATAGTGAGACCTTGTCTCAAAAAGACTAATAATAATAATAATAATGGCTGGGGAGATGGCTGAGTTGAATAAGTGCTTGCCTGGCAAGCATAAGGGCCTGAGTTCAATCCCCAGTTCTGCCAAAATAATAATAATAATAAACTAATTAAATTTTCTGAGTATGTCTTATATACCCTTATTTTAAAAAATAACCCTCTGTTCATATATGTATTCTAGGCTCTAAAACAATTATTGGTTGATTTATAACTGTGTTATTTTAGATAATATATTGGAAGGTAAGTTTCTGCTTTTAGTTACTAATTGATTTTACAGAGCTTACAAATGATGTAGTTACTTTCTTTGAAGGTGTTCTCATTTTGCTCTTTTCTGTTAATTTTGATGGCTGTGATCATTTTTGTATGTTTGCTCTTTAGGTATCAGCCTGGTGGACGATATCTCTCAATGTCTTCCAGTATAATATTTGAAGATATCTGAAGTCTGAAAACATTTATGGAACAGCTAAACAGTTCAACACATCGCATCAGTTCATTTTTTATGAACATCTGTATGCCCCAGAATTTCCTGCCTACTCTCAAGGAAGTGTCAGTACAACAAAAAGGACACCAAGCATTAATTACAGCTTAGTTTATTAAAGAGTGTTATCTTTTCTAGTAATATTTATTCTGTACCATTGCCCAAGTGTCTGCCTTAGAAGTAGAGTTACAATGGAAGGATTTAATTCATGATAAAGATCAGTATATGTTGAGAACATATACTTCAGTTTCATGGGAACTTTTAGAGGAAAGTTAAAGATTCAAGGAAGCCATAAGTCATACTAAATATCATACATTTTATTATTGAGATTTACATTTTTGCTGTTTCTAAAAAATACATTTAATCTATATTTCCCAAAGAAATGTAAGTGAATGGAGACCTCAAGTAATAACCATATTCGCAAAATCCATGTCTTAAAACTTACTTATTAGACATAACTGAATGTAAAAGCCTTTTTTCAAATCTGTGTGCAAATTTGTGGGGTATTTTGCATGAATAATTAGGATTATATTTAGGCTAATAGTGTTAGTGTCTTTAGCATGTATACACTAATCAAGTGATACATTATTTTTTCAGTCTTCCTAGTAACTGGATTTTAAAAATGCTTTGGTATCTCTTTAGACAAAATTTTCATTTCAGAGGGAAATATTTACTTTTAGCATTTAGCATATTGATTTAAATATTGATCATTCCATTCAAGTGGAAATTTTAAGTTTTAATGATAATTTTTTTAATAGCCAAAGAGTTCTGCAGAATTGTCTGTTCAAAGGTTCTTGTTTACACTTTTTGAAAAGAAAACATCTGGCTATTTAAAGATAAAATGTGAATCTATTTACTACTTAAATTATGGCTTATAGAAAACAGAAAACTGTATTCGAACAGAAATGTATAATAACTTGTTGGTTAAGTGTGCTTATTTCAATTTGATTGTTTTCATCTTTGTTGGTATTATAGCCAAACTAGGTATTATATTTTAAAGCATCAGATTTTATTGCAAAATGGAAAGGCATTGATTTAATATGGCAGAGTACAGCATGCTCACAGAGTTTTTTTATGGCTGAAGATACTGATAACTGATAGAATCTGTGCCATATTGGGTAATCATACTTGAGCTTGTTTCTCTCTTTTTTTTTTTCTTGGTGATGCTGGGGAGTAAACCCATTGCCTTCAAAGTAAGCTACATTCCAGGCTGTGTTTTGTTTTGTGACAGTCTCAGAAGGTAGGCTTGAACTTGTGGTCATCCTGTTTCATTCTGCCAGAATGCTGAGATTGCAGGTATAAATCACTATACCTGGTAGCTTATTCTCAGTTTAACACTTACATCCTTAATTATAGTTAACTGCTAGTGCTCATTCCATTTCACATGTCTTTATTTGAAGGTGTAGAAGATTATCCTAATAAGGTGATTATAGGTTTCTGAACATAATTTTTCCGAGTCATAAATTTAAAATTTTTATATTCCTCTTTAATAAATGTTATGTAAATTTTTAAAAAAGTTCTATCCAAGTACTAATTTTTTTCTTTTCTCCCTTGTGCTGAAGATAGAACCCACGGCTTTGTATGTGCTAGCAAGTGCTCTGTCATGAGCTAAATCCAGTCCCTATCTGTTTTTTGAGATTATATCCCCTTTAAATTATTAATGGACAGATGTATTCTCAATTGAAGATCATATATGCTACTCATTTGAGATTGTGAAGTGTCATCAGAGAGCAGTAGGCCAGGAGAAGTAATAATTTAATATTGTTTGTAATTTATGATTGCTTCAGTTACTTTGGGCAGACCATGTAACATTTCAGTGCCTCAGTTTCTTCATTTGCAGAATGAAAGAGATACTTCTGTTTGCCTCCTAATTTACAGAGTGAAAAAGATACTTCTATTTTCCTCCTGATCTGCATCACAAAACCATTGCGAGGGAGTTGAACTGACATTTGTGTAGAGGAGTTTAGACAGAAGTTAGCTGTGCTATGTCCCCTCGTGGTACCTCAGGTGTACAAGTAGAAGTGATCATCCCATAAAGGGGTCCAGCTTCTTATTGTTACAGAGAAGCTTACAAGTCCTCAAAGCAAAAATTATTTCTGAATTAATTGAGTAAAAGTCCTGTGAAAATTTGTTTTATTATTTGGCCTACTATTTAGGTTTACTTTGGAATAGTTTTCTTTTTTCTTTTATTTTTTTTATTGTGGAACAGGGGATTGAACTCAGGCCCTTGTGTTTGCCAGGCAAGCCCTTACTCTACTGAGCTGTCTCCCCGGCTCTCAAATATTATTTTTCTT